CAACCCTGCTTGCAGAAACTGAGGAGGACCTGAAACGCTTGCTGCAGAGGGTCAAGGACTGCAGCCTACAATATGGATTGAGGCTCAACATCAAGAAGACAAAGATTCTCACCACTGGACCAATTGGCAGCATCAGGATGGATGATGAAGAGATTGAGATTGTTCACAGTTTTAGTTTGCTTGGCTCCACAGGCAACACTCTTGGCATCAGTAGCCAGGAAATTAAAAGATGTATTACCATGGGAAAGTCTGCTGTTGGGGACCTCTCCAGAGTACTGATGAGCAATGGTGTCACTCTGGAGACTAAGGTGTGTCTGATACAGGCCATGGTCTTTGCAATCACTTATGCATCAGAGAGTTGGACAATGACTAGGGGGGATAGAAGGGGAATTGATGCCTTTGAAGAAAACAGATTCATCCTTGAGAGGGTTAAACCGGGCTGTGCCTTGGAGGCAAGGATTCTGGGGCTTCATCTGATATACTTTGGTCATGTTGTAAGGAGGGACTGGTCCTTGGAGAGGGACATCATACTTGGGAGGGTGGGGGGACAGCGCAGGAGGGGAAGAACCTCTATGAGGTGGATTGATTCAGTGACTGGGGTAACTGGGATGGGTGTGTGTAGGCAGTGCAATTGGCACAGGATAGAGCAGGGTTTAGGTCTGCTGTACATAGATAGGGTCGATATGAGTCGCAAGTGACTCGACGGCACATAACAACAGCAACAGGGATTTAATCTTTGGAAGGGCTCATTAATCAATTTTATTCTCTCTTGGTTGTGCATTTCTGGCTGTATTTGTCAGCCTCTTTATACCATATGCTAGGCCTTCTGTGCTTGGTTACATTTTATCTCCTATGATCTTCATGGTTTTGGGCTTTCCCACCAGGTCTCTGATCCATCTTGAGTTGATTTTTGTGGATGGTGTGAGATGTGAATCCTCTTTCAGGTTTCTGAGGGAGTAATCCAGTTTTTCCAACACCATTTTTAAGAGGATGCCATTTTCCCATTTGATAGGTTTTGTTTCCTTGTCAAATATCAGTTGACCGTATATAGACAGCAAGCAATAAATGTTGGAGTGGCTGTGGAGAGGTTGGTACTTTCATAAACTGTTGGTGGGGTTGTAAAATTGTACAATCACTGTGGAATGTAGTTTAGCATTTCCTCAAAGAGCAGAACATAGAAATTCCTTATGACCCAGGTAACTGCTAGGAATATACCTCAAGGACATTAGAACTGAGACACAAATGTAGATTTGTACAGCAATTCAGCATTATTCAGCATCGTAAGAACATGGAAACTGCCAAATGTCCAACCACAAATGAATTAACTAAGAAAATGCACTACATTCACACAATGGAATAATACACATCACTCAGGAGCAACTATTTTGAAAAATACTACATAACTTCAGAGAGACTAGAGGGCATTATTCTGAGTGAACTAACTCAGTCTCTTAAGAACAAATACTGCATAAGGCCATTATTGTAAAAATAGAAGGATAACAAGTAAAACGTGTATGAAAGTCCAAGGGGGGAAGGGGTGAGAACATAGCTGTGAGGATAGGTAGGGTAGAAAGTATAGGGTCACACAATTTGGTAGGTGGACGGAGAGGGTAAAGGAAATGGGGAAGATCTGGCAGAGACCTGAAAAGATGGGGTAATGATGGACAAATTCAATGATTATTAATTTTATAAAACACTATGTATGAGAATGTATGAACCATAATGTCAGTGAAGGAAAAGTGTGAAAGATAATGTGTATGAACTTTTCAAAAAGGAGAAAAAGGAAGCAATGGTGTTAAAGGAAGAAGTTCAAGCTACTCTAAAGGAATTGGCAGAACACAAGGCTCCAGGAATTGACATACTTCAACAAACAGATGCAGACATGCTCACTGGGTCATGCCAGCAGATCTGGAGGACCACTACCTGACAAAATGACTTGAAGAAAGCCATATTTATTTATATTTATTTTTTAAAAATTAAGGTGATCCAACAGTGTGGAAATTATCACTAATGTCACTTGCAAGCAGTATCTTGCTGAAGATTATATAAAAAAAAAAGACTGAGAACTAGCAAAAATACAAACTAGGTTTTGAAGAGGCCGTGGCACTAGTAACATCATATTAAAGTCAGATGTTTCTTGACTGAAAATAGAGAGTACCAGAAGACTGTATGTGTTGCATTTATTAGATAAAGACATTTGACTGTGGATCACAACAAATTGTGTCTAACCTTGAGAATGATAGGTATCTTAGAACACCTGATTGTGTTCATGCAAAACCTATGCTTGGACCAGCAGTTGTCAGAGCAAAGAAACACTGCATGGTTCAAAATCAGGACCTTTTCAATCTATATGTGGAAAAGATTATTCTAGAGGCAGGACTTTATGAGGTGAAATGTGACATCAAGGAAGACTCATTAACAACCTGCGTTATGCACATGACACAACTCTGCCGAAACTTAGGAAAACCTGAAGTGCTTGCTTCATGACTATAATCTACAAGATGGTTTGAAGCTCAAACATCAAGAAGACAAATATTCTCAGCAAATTGACAACAGCATGATAGATGGAGAAGAGATTGAAGTTGTTAACAATTTGAGCTTGGTAGGTTCCCTAATCAACAGTCTTGGCAACAGCAAATCAAAATACAAATTACTATAGAAAATTCTGCTATCAGGGACTTCTCCAGAGTGTTAAAGAGCAACGATGTCAGCCTACAGACTAAGGTGCACCTGATCTAAGCAATCACTCATTACACATCCGAAAGCTGGACAATGACTAAGGATGATAGAGAACAATCAATTCCTTTGAATTATGGTACTGGAGAAGAGTATTTAACATACCATGGACTGCCAAGGGAACAAACAGATCTGTCTTGGAGAGAATGAAAACAAGTTGTTCCTTAGAGGCAAGGATTTTGAAGTTTTGGCTGACATCAATAAAGCATGTTGCCAGGGGCAACCAGTCCATCATGCTCGTAAGGATGGAGGGACAGCGCAAGAGAGGAAGACCCTGGAAGAGATGGATTGACACAGTAACTGGGGCAGTGGGTGTAAGTGTGTTAGACACTGTAAGATTAGCTCACGAAAGCACAGGGTTCAGAGCTATTGTGCATAGGGGTTGCTATGAGTTTCAGGTGACTCAACAGCACACAACAACATTTGTATATATATGTATATTGTTGTTGTTGTAAATGTCCTTTATTCACGTGTGACTCATAGTGACCCAGTGTACAACAGCTCTAAACTCTGTTCTATCCTGAGCCAATCTCATCGTTTCTGATACACCCATTTCCATTACCCCAGTCACTGAGTCAATCCATCTCATCCAGGGTCTTTCTCTCTTGCATTGCTCTTCCACCGTCCTAAGCATGATGTCCATCTCCAAGGACTGCTCCCTCCTTGCAACATGCCCAAAATATGTTAGATAGAGCTTCAGAATCCTTGCCTCCAAGGAGCAGCCTGGTTTCACCCAGTCTTAGGCAAACCTGTTTGTTCTCTTATGATATATTCAATATATTCAGTACTCTTCTCCAGCACCCATCAATTCTCCTTCTATCATCCCTACCTTTCTGATGCATAGCAAGTAATTGCAAAGATCATGACCTGGATCAGGTGCACTTTAGTCTCCAGATTTATATCGTTGCTCTTTAGTACTCTGCAGAGATCCCTGACAGCAAATTTTCTCAATGGAATTAGTCTTTTGATTTCCTCCTGGCTGCTGGTACCAAGAGTGTTCATTATCAAGTCAAGCAAACTGAAGCTGTTAACTATCTCATTCTTTTCACCATTTATCATAATGCTGCCAGTTGTCCCAGTGGTGAGAATCTTTATTTTCATGAAGTTGAGTTTCAATCCATATTGAAGGTTTCAGTCCTTGACCTTCTGTAGCAAATTCCTCAGATCCTCCTCAGTTTCAGCAAGCAAGGCTGTATCATTTGCATAATGTAGATTGTTGATGAGTCTTCTTCCAATCTTGATGCCACATTTCTCCTTATAGAGCCCAGCCTCCCAAATCTGTTCCACATACTGATTGTAAAGGTATGGAGATAGGATGCATCCCTTGCATACACCTTTCCTGATTTTGAACCACGCAGTATTTCCTTGCTCTACTGGCTCCTGGTCCAAGTATAGGTTTCACATCAGCAAAATTGAGTGCACTCGGATTCCCATTTTTCTCAGAGTTAGTCACAGTTTCTTGTGATCCACATAGTCAAATACCTTTGCATAGTCAAGGAAACACAGATAGATATTCTTCTGCTATTCTCCTGATCTAACATTAGCTATAATATTCCTAGTACCGTGGCCTCTTCTAAACCCAGCTGGCACATCTGGCAGTTCTCTGTTGATGTGCTATTCCAGTCATTTTTGGATAATTTTCAGCAGGATCTTGCTTGCATATGATATTAATGATATTGTTTGATAATTTCTGCACTCTGTTGGGTCACTTTTTTTGGAGTGGGAACAAATATAAATCTCTTCCAATCAGTTGGAAGGATGGTTGTCCTCCAGATTTCTTGGCACCTTTGGTGAGCAGGTCCAGGGCAGTGTCTGCTTGTCAAAATATGTCAATTGCTATGGGTCAAATACCGGTGCCTTGGTTTTTTGCCAATTCTTTCAAAGCAGCTTGAACTTCTTTCTTCAACACCACAGGCTTGTTTACAAAATAAATTAATAATTCAGGGAGCTCTGGTGGTCTACTGGCAAGAAACTGTGCTGCAATCCTGAAAGCACATGGTTCAAATCTACCATATGCTCGGCCAGGCGGATACAACTCAACAGTACACAACAAGAAAAAAAAAGTAATAATTTATAATAGACCATTCTCTAGCAGTCAAAATCACTACTTTTCCTTTTGTGACACTTCAGTGGAGGCACGTCAGTAATATTATAACTAAGCCACAGTAAATCAAGGGTAGTTAAAGGTAGATACAAAAGCAAAACTGGTCCCCAAACCAAAAACATACAGGAAAAGCTTTATTCAAAATGGAGTTCTTGCTTACCTGGCCAATAAAACTGCTAGAAGATCTTCTGACACAGGTAACTTGGAGGACTTGCACAGCCTTCTAATGTCTTTGCTGGGTAGTACATTTTTCCTGCATTAAGGCAAAGAAGTTAGGCTTTTGTATATCTTATGTCCCTCTAATAACAATTACATATTATAGGAATGAAAATACAGACATGTCCTAAAACATACACAAGGAAATCGGCATAAAAATTGACATAAAAGAAAAAGCAATCATATTGTATTTAATCAACTTTTCCATTTCAAAAAATACAGATGGACACTGCGCCAGCCAGAACACCTGGCCAGCCGGAATGCTGCGCCAGCCAGAAAGCTGGAATTTCAATCACACACAGGTCAGCTGAGTCGCAGCCGAAAGACACCAGCCAAGCCAGTGTGAAACCTACCCACCAGAAGCAAGTAGAGAGCAACTTCCTGCCACCCTGTGACTCCAGAGGAGGAACTGACTGCCCCAGCTTCTAAGAGACCCGAGAGGAGCAACAGTCTGCCAGCCACCTCAGAATTCCAGAGGAGCGAACACCACCGACCATGTGACCCCAGAGGAGTGACGACTACCTGCCACTGTGTGACCCCTCTGTAGCCTGTGCCTGTAGGGACCCCAACATGCAGGGTGCCTCTGCATAAACCCCCAGCAGCACCCAAGCCCTGCACGCTGCCTCCTGGTGGGAGTGTCCAAGCACTGTGCTCCTGGGAGCTCCCCCCAATCCTTTGCTTTCTCCCCCTTCCCACGCCCACCCTTGCCGCTCCACAACCACACCCCTTAGCCCCCCTCCCCCCCCCCTAGAGCCCTGTGACCTCAGGGCACCACCGTAGATCCAGCCATCACCCAGAGCTATCAGCCGAGCTGCTATGGAACTAATCTGGCAGGAGAAAGGCCGGTGGGATCCTGACTAGGTTTACTGGGGCATTGCTGATTACCTGGGAGAGCACCTAATGCCATGCCCACTGGTGGGGAATTTGGCCAAGCTCTCTTGGGCTACACCAACTGGCCAGAAATGAGGCAGCCACTGGCTGGCTTCTGTGGACTCTGCAGACCAGCCAGAGGCTAGTGGGCTGGTGGGAATTTGACCTTGACTTTTCGGGTTCTGTTGGATCCAGGTCTAGCCTGGAGTAGGACCTGTTGTGTAAGGGCACCTCTGTAAGTGCCACCAGGCAGGGAACACTGAAAAAACCATTGGGTAGGAAACGGACAGCAGGAATTTGAGTAGGGACCAGAATCGTGAGCACACTCAGACAGCAGAGGTTTGAGCAAGGTCCCCCAAGTTTTGGACCTGCCCTTTCGATCACCCCAACCCTATGCCTGCCTCACCCCATTTGGCTCCACACCAGTGCCTACATGTCTGGGCAATCAACTTACCTTTAATCGGGAGCACCTTGACCTGTCTTACCAACAAGAGATTGCCCTCGTAGGCTCTGAACTGACATTTTTCTGAAGTCAGAAGTTCAGAGATATGCACAAGTTCAGTAGCTGCCCAACAGATCTCAAAAGCATTGTCTTCAGATCAAGAACATATCAATGTCTCGAAGAAAGCAAAGTATCCCACACAATACACAAGAGCAAAGCAAGATGTTGCTCACAAAGGGTGACACAGTATAAGTGGATTTCCTGAAGCCAAAAAGTCTGATGAAACTTTCTGACACAGAATTTAAAAGAGGAGTGACTGAAAATATCCAATGGATGAAAGAAAAACTTGATTAATTACAGGATACTAAAAGCAAAAATCAGGAGGAGCTCAAAAAAATGCAGAACATTGCATAGAGAACAAATGAGGCATTAGCAGCACTGTAAAAACAAGAATCTACTTTCAAAATATAAGGTCCAATGTTTCAAAGGCTGTCAACATGGTCGAGGGTCATATGAGCAGAGTTGATGAGATGGAACACAGAATCAGTGAAATTGAAGACAAAATTGTCACCACTGATCTGCTAGAGCAAAAAGAAGACTCAAAAAAGAAGGAAAAGGAAGAAAACCTAAGAATAATGTGGGACACCATCAAGAGAAATAACATGCACATCATTGAAATCCCAGAAAAGGAAGAAGTAAGTAAGTAAAGGCACTGAAAAAGTTGCGGAAGAATTACTAGAGGAAAACATCTCAGGTATAATGAAGAATGAGAGAATATGTATTCAGGAAGCTCTGCGAACACCACATAGATTAGATCCGAAAAGAAAAAAAAAAAAGGCATATCATACTTAAATTTGCCAGAACCAAAAGTAAGGAGAGAATCCTGAAAGCAGCAAGGGAGAAACAAAGAGTAAACTATAAGGGAGAACAGATAAGATGAAGTGCCAATTTCTCAGCAGAAACCATGCAGGCAAGAAGAGAGTGGAAGGACATATATCAAACACTCAAAGAACACAACTGTCAA